TCCCCCTCCCCATGTTGTTAGGAAAATCTTTGGGGGGGAAAAAGGGTAAATGGGGGGGGGGGGGTTAGAATCAGCTTGGAATGGTCAAGAAGGACAATGAAGAGACCATGCTATAATGTTTCTCATGGCTAAATTAGGGTTGATATAGGGTTGAGTAGGGTTGATATAGAGTTGAGTTTGAGGGTGTTTGGCTCAACTAAAAATAAAAGAAAATTTACCTACATACCACACAATTCCTATGCATTTACATAGCTAACACTTCAAGTTTGATATTTACAGTTATAACACCTTGGTGTAATAAATCTATGCACGAGAAGTTATATTTCATTTTTAATAAGATTGTGATGGTGGTATTTTTGATGTAATACTAGACATTTGAACGGTATGCATGTAAATATGAAATGTTTAGTTAGGTAAATAGTGTGGTATGGATGTAAATATCCTAAGAGTTTATATAATTAACCTACAATTTTATGGGTGAAATTAAGTATAAGAAATCAACATGCTGCTCATAAAAATTTGTGGAGAAAATCTCTAAATTTGTTTAGTGTTTTGTGTTTCTGAATAGATTTGTAAAAGATTCAAGAAAAATAATTAGAGAGCCAAAAAAAGCTTTAAAAGTAATGAATTTTATAGCCACACAATGTTGGTTGCCAGTCGAGCTCAATCTGAGAGTATGCAAGATTACTGAGCCGTGCCTGATTTTTGCTTTCATCACTTGAAGATTTATTATGAGAAGAAGAAGATGCAAAACAAGGATCAATAGAAATGAAGTGGCGTCACGATCCGGCCTAGGGCTTAGAATTAATCAAGGCAAGAACAGGCGGTGCGGGCGGTGAAAATCAATTCTTATATTTTATTTCTATCACTAAAAATTTAACATTCAAATATTTATGAAAGAGCAACTAAAAAAATAATTAAAATTAATAAATATTTGTTTTCGTCTTTTGTTCACGTTCGTCTTAATTAAAAGTTTAAACCTGAAAAAAAATATTAAAGTAATATAATGAGTTATCAAAAAATAACTCAGGTCACACTTATAAATTATTATAATCCAAGGAAAAGAAATCAATATGTATATTGGTCTTTTACATATCGATAAAAAAATCTTTTGTTATGTTAATCTGTCATATGAAATCTTTGAATATATTAATGCATGGATCAATGACCTCTTCTAAATGAAAATACTCTAATATTTCTATATGCATTAATTTTAACTTTACATTTACTTTATATTTTTTTGTATACACATCAGTCTGTTTTGAGGATTACCGTCAAAATAACTTACCACACCTTTGGTCGATTTTTCCCCGCCGGCTCTCGTCAGCACAACAGTTAGTGATGTAAACTTCACAATTATCTAGGATGGAAATGTCCTTATCTGCCCTGACTGATATTATCCTGTCGATACAACGGTTGGCGATCTATACATCAAAATTGTCTGGGGTGGTAAGCTCTGGTTACTCGCCCCTGATTAATATTATCTCTTCGACATAGTGGTTAGTGAGCTAACTATTACAATTTTCTAATATTGCCCGACATGTAAGCTCTGCTTACTCGCCCCTGATCAATATTATTTCTTCGACATCGCAGTTAGTGAACTAACTATTACAATTTTTTAAGATTGTCTTGTCGGCTCTCGTCGGCACAACAGTTAGTGATTTACATCACAATTGTTTAGGATGGAAATACCCTTACCCATCCTAACCGATAGCAACTCGTCGACACAATTGTTAGCGATCTATGCATCACAATTGTCTGGGGTGGTAAGCTCTGTCTACTCTGATCAAATATTTCCCTTCAACATAGTGGTTAGTGAACTAACAATTACATTTGTTTGGGGTTGTAGAAAAAACCTTACTCGTGTGTGCATATTAGCGTCTCTTGTCTGTACCATTATGCGATTAGCTTCTCTGAACATGCACATACAAACATTCATATATAAGATATTTCATTCTTTCATATCATGCATCTCTTTTCATATGAATCACTTCACATGTATCTACTACTAAATAAGTGCACGTTTACGAGCTTCAAAATAACATGCATTAATCTAATATTCATAGATAAATCATTTTACAGCTGGTTGTATATGATTGTTTTCTAATAGTAATGAAATGATATGTTATAAGATTTCTATTTGAAGCTATAGGTCATGCAATGACCTATTATATATGCACCTCTACTATAATTTAATGTCATTCAATCATCTAATAATCTTATAGGAAATTCATTGTGTATTTATTTAATATGCTTGTCTTCCTATCTACCAATATGAAGTTACTATAAATTAAATTTCATTGAAATAAAACATAAATGAAGCATCAATAAAATCAAACATACATTTTAAAATAAAACTAATTACTAAAATTAAAAAATGCAATTACTCACCTCAATTATTAAGCGATTTCTTTATTAGCTTAATCCTCCATTTAACTTCCTTGCTAGTCTTTTATCGGTTTATTTTCACAAAATCAAGATTCTAAAATATTTTCAAAATATACATTAATTTAGGTATTTACGTATCTTCTAAATTCAAAGACAGAAGGAATGATTGTAGAAGTTACGTCACAACTTGTAGCAAGACCCAAAATTCTTCAATATCAAAACTCAATTAGTCTTCCCAATTCAAATCACTAGTTTTGTCTCATGATAATTAAAATATTAATATAAGGAAATTAAAAAGGATGTAAATCCTACCTCTTTCACCGTCGTTCACCGTCGTCAATCTTCACGGCTCCAAACTAAATCAAACACGTTCTTCTTTACTATTAATATTTTAATACACAACATATATTAAATTCATTAATTAAAATAATAAAACCGAATATATTATATTCTATTTTTTAAAATAATTAAAACCTAACTTTTACCTTAATAAATCTATGGGCCTATGAAGCTTGAGCAAGAGTTTTTCCGCATGAACACAGTGCAAGAAGTCACTCCTCGCACGAAGGCTCGGCTCCCTCTCCTCCCTCACACAAAGCCTCTTCTTCTCTCTCGCATAGACGACGTTGCAGCTTCTCTTGCAAACGATGATGTTCTTCTCGTCCGACGGACCGCATCTTCTCCTTCAAACTCTTCTTCCTCTTCTTCTTCTCAGCTCAACCTTCCACTTCTCAAGAAAGCTGCATCCTTTTCTCTGCTCCTCTTCAACCTATGGCTAGGGCATAGGCTTCCTTCTCATTGAACGATGCCGAACCTAAGCATAATACACTCCTTCCTTCGCAAGGATTGTTCTTCTTGCCGGGCTTCGTTTGTCATGGTAAATTTTTCTCTTCCCTTTACCCCTGCTTCTTCTTCTTCGTTACTTTCATCTCTTGCTTTGATTTGTCTCTTTCAATTCGAAGGGATATACCACTCTTTAATTCGCAGCGAAAGAATGCTTCTGTTCGATTATTAACATATTTTCATTTATTTATTATATTTTTATATATTTTTTCCAGTTATTACAATAATCCCACTTTATAAAAATTTTGTCCTCGAAATTTATGAACTTCATACCTACTAAACATTATGCAAGTTGAACTTGGACTATAAGAAAATCTTTAAGAAAGTTTAATTCTTTTGTTAAATAATAATAAATGTAGATATCATAAATCTAGCTCTGAGATAACATAGTTCAATTGAGCAATGCCCATACATCTGAATCATAACAACATAGCTAACATAACGCTTGACTTCTAAAATGAAGTTTTTTTTTCCCCCGCCCCCAGCCAGTTTTCAGCTTTTACTGGCTCTTCCGCTCTAGAAAACGAAGACGGTCTTATGTCCTGAAAGAGCTTCAAATACTTATCCATCGGTGCTCCTCCATTGCTACTAGCATGAGGTTTAGAGTTCCTAATTATCTGTATCATTGCATTCATCATCTCAACAAAAATATCAACATTGACCATAACATTCTAGGTTATATCAAATTCAACATCATCCTCGCTGGCCTCTACTTCCAGATCATCCATGATTTTGAATTGACAATAAAATAATTTAATTAGACTCATTTAAAATTTAACTTCTATTATTTATATGTGTATTCAATCTTTATAATGAGTCTTTCATTAAGATTCATGTTATTTGATCTAAACT